GTGAGCTTCCGGATCGGTTGAGCACCTTTGTTTTCATGTTTTTTTTTTCAAAACAAGACATGAAGACCGGTTGACTTCGGAGTTTGTGAACTCTTTGCAGCTCTTCGCGTCTTGCAGCTCGTCCTTGCAGACCACACCTGTCGAGCCGGAGCTGCGCGCGGAGTGGTTGGACACCGCAGTGCGGGGCCTGGAAGCCTTCAAGTGCTCACAGGTGGTACCTGAGGACGAGGCGCCTGGTGGTGACCCCGGTGGTGTTCTGTTGGAGGAAGGGGGAATACAGTATATTGAGTATTGGGGAAGCCTCGCCTGGTTTTGAGCTCGAGGTTGGACATCAGAATCCAGATGAATCAAGTGTCCCCTGATTGATCCCTTTAGCGTTTGTTCGGATGCAGACTCAACCTGACTTTCGTTCTGGGGTTGTGAATGTGGACCCCTACCTGTACATTTGGAAAAAGAGGTCTCTCCAGTGGGGAAGTTGCTTTCGCATGCTTTTGCTACGTTCGTAGCGATGTCCTTTAATAGCTTCTTGCTCCTAGTAGTAAGGCCAGGAGCCCCTAGTCGTAGCGTCCGATCGCTCCTAGTAGCGATGCCAGGAGCCCCTAGTAGCAGCGTTTCGCCCGAAACTTACCTGAAACCATTGCCGGATGAAGCGCCAGCCGATGTCGCCGCCAGATGGATGAAGCGCGCGGACGGATGATCTTGAGGCCCCCCCATCGACCAAATCGGTGGAGGGTTCATTTGGATCGTTGAAGACCTTTGTAGAGATGGGACAAGTGACACATTGAATCGGCTGAATCAAGAATCAGCATGAATCAGCCACGTTCTAGAGAGTTCTTCCCTATGGCTGCCAGGCACCTTGCCATGCCTAACCCTACTCCCAAACCCTCCTGCGTCCGATCAGGTGTGGAGCCTCCTCCCGTCCGCGGCGCCTCCGCTCGCGACACCTGGTCTATGCCGCAGGCGGATGGTGGCGTAGGGCCTCAAAACTTGTTTGGTTCTTCAAAAACGGGTCCCAAACCCCGAATCCCAATTGGTAAAGTGGGAGGGAATAATAAACTGATTTCGCAAAATGATTACCACACCCTGGATAAACAAAAAAGTTTGTGTGTTTTTTCTTTTTTCGCGCAAGGGTGTGTTTAAAGTTGTGTTGCCCAGTGTCTAGAAATTGGGAAAGTATCTAAGCGTACTTTTCTATCATTACTTTTCTATTGCTGGCCTTTAAGATCCTTGCTCAACCTCTTCTGAGGTTGACTTGATTCATGGAGCTCTGACCTTGTTTGACCTCAAAACTTACTGTAAAACCATGTACAACCTTTTTCAAAAGCCCTTTTTAAAATTCATCGAGATCATTGCTCCAAACAATTTTTCAAGGGGGTAGTACAGGGGAAGTGGATAATAAGATGTGTTTAGGGGGTCGGATTAATGCGCCAACTTGGAGCCATAGAAAAATATCAAAGCTTGCATTTCTATTACTGTCAGCTATTGCTGCCCTTTAAGATCCTTGCCGACTGAGAGCCGCGCATGCCTGCCTGTCCTACTGCCACAACAACAACAACCTCTACTACTACTACTACTACTACTACTACAACGACTACCACTACGACTACGACTACGACTACTACGACTACTACTACTACTCCTGCTCCTGCTCCTGCTCCTGCTCCTGCTCCTGCTCCTCCTCCTACTACTACTACTACTCCTACTCCTACTCCTACTCCTACTTCTACTCCACTACCGCTACGAGGACTACGAGGACTACGACTACGGACTACGATTACTACTGTACTACCACTGCTACTAATACCACTACTACGACGACGACAACGACGACTACTGCAAACCACCAGGTCAGGAACAAACCACAGACCAGATCTAGTAAATCAACCTGGTTTGGTCTTGGTCGAAGCACACTCTCTTCAAAGCGTCTCGTTTGAAAGGGCCTGCGATTGGCGGTGGCGTTTGCCTGGCGCTGCAGCAAGCTTAGCAGTGTCGCCGTGTGGACGATAGCTGTGACGTTTAGACCACCCAAAAGTGGGATTATGCACGTGAGCATAGACGACCTGTAGATGACCCCGCAACCACGTATGGGAGGTTTCCTAGATGTAGTATATATATAATTTGCGTTCTTGCACCAGAGGCCCAAATAGGGGATCGGCAAGTAGAGCACACCACATACATATAAATAAATAAAAATAGGAAATATGTACAGTATTGGTGACACCGGCGATTGCCCATTTACTACTACTAGGGGGATCCTCACCGGCGGAGTTCATCGAGGGCAGGATGTACAATCAGGAGTACAAAGAGTGCTGGTGCAAACAGAATGGGTACCATGCAATCACCACAAGGAGAGAACATCATTTGGACACGCAGTGTCACAAGCGCCAGAAACATGGGTAAAGCCTTGGGAGGAGACAGGAAAGCACAATGGGAGAGAAAAGACATGATACTCGAGGCTTATCAGATGAGAATGAACCCCCAAAAAGGCAGAGGAGGCAATGCGAGTAGAGAGAACCCAAAGATACAACCATGGCGACCGACTTGATCGAAACGCGCCTAGGACCGGCGCCTATCCCGAGCTTCCGCCACATGTGTGTGGAGTCCAGGATGGAAGTCTTGGCTTGGGCACAGCCTGTGCTCGTCATTGATGGGCCGCCATCATAGGATTACCCTCTAACCCAACAGTCAAAGCGTTATGTGGGAACCACAAACCAAATGTCACCCGTGGAAGACCACTGCGGACTGCAGTATCAAGAAACCATGTGCCTCGTGCATACCTCCGGACCCTGTGGCAACTTCTTTTCGGGGGTAACAAAAATTGACCCCTGCCCTTGGCCCTGTGCAAGGAGAGGCAAAGCATCATGAATCAGAGTGCGAGAGTCATTGGTTTAGCAGCTTTGCAAAAATCAGCAATAGCTCTATTTAGCTCTTAGAATCCAGCTTCACACCCACAGGGTGCAGGCCGTTGTGGAGGTCGATTGTTGGGAACTCCGGCATTCGTCATTGCCTAGAGCCAAGGTTTCATTGCCTAGAGTTGCGGGCGTGGCCTCCAGCATGTTTTTCAGCGGTGCTGCCAAATTGCATGTTTCTTCAGAAAGGGGGTTCAGTATAGCTTGGGTGACCTACCCGTGAACGATCAACAGACCAAAACGGAAGAGAGGCGATGGGAAGTGCAGCCTTGTTTTGTGTGCAGAAACCTGTATTGTGAAGAAACCTGCTGTGCCCACTGCCAGGCCGCTGCATGTTGCCATCTTGAGAGTTCTGGTGGGTTCGACAGGTACGAGGACAAAAAGAGTGGCCACCAGCGGAAGATCCACCGCATCAAACAGCAAGCTTCATGGAGTCTTTGGAGTGATGCAACTCGCGTTTTTTGTTTTTTTTAGTAAAACACATGGCTTTGGCGCTCAGATTTTACACACTGCCAGGCGTTGCGTTGTTGCTCCTTGCATTGGCCTGCCCTTTGTACGTGGCCGGGACTCCCGGAGTGGACCGAGACTCGGAGACGCTCCTCGCCCGTCGCCGTCGTCTCCCGAGGTGCGGAATGCGCCGCTGGAAGGACGAACGGGTGCCATGAAGGCGTCGCGGTCGCAAAGAAGACGAATGGCTCGTGCTTCGATGGAGACCATGAGAGGCGCCCCAAAAGCCTCCTTCTCATAAAGCAAGTATGTACAACTACTATAGTATGTACAACAGTATCCAGTGTAATTAATTACGTGCAATTTACCACAACCGGTTACACTTCCTCGTGTTCAATCAAAGACAAATGCATCATCCTGTTGGACCAGCAGCTGAAGCGTAGGCCACTTGGAGGTCCCTCCAAAACTGTGGAACTAACATGAACTAACCAACAGATTCTTTTTTGAGGACAGGAATGTTCTTTTGGTTTCAAGAGATCTTTCTATATTGTAATAGTATGGACCCATGTGTTGGATGTTTGTTCTCAACCTCGCGGCCGGTCCTTGGGGCATGATTGGTGGGGTATCCTGAGTGCCACCATTTTGTTCGCCATGTGCAGGCTTTGCCTCTGAGGGCAGCTACATATGAGCTTCCACGGATAGTGAAGAAAGTGTAGAGAGTTTCCTTTATCAGGTGTTCCTTCCAAGGAGTTTTTAGTGAATCCATGTGCCCCTGGAGCAGTACCTCTTCAGCAACAAAGCTAACACAACCCACAGGAAGCAAGCTTGGAAGATAATTTTCGTCTCCATGTGGCCATTGTGTAGATATGATTGCCGCTCGGATGGTTGAAGGGGAAGCCCAACACCGGCACAGACCATTCGGTTTGTGCGTAGGTGGCTCTACTGCTTCTACCCTTGACTCTGGCGCCGGTCTGGGTCTTTTTCCTCTCGCAGCTCGTCATGGAGGCGATGCCGATCGTGCTGATGTTTGTTCCCCACCTGCCAGGTGAGGGTTGTTAGATTTTATCACAGTTGTTCTTCCTCCTCCTCCTTCCTTCCTCCGGGATACCTATCAAAAAGAAAATTGATTCCTATCAAAAAGAAAATTAATTCCTATCAAAAAAAAACATTAATTCGTATCAAAAATAAAATTCCCCCTACTCCTTTGGTCCTGGTCTGCTGGTTCCCTGGTCGCTTGGTCCCTTGGTCCTCTGGTCCCCTGGTCCCTTGGTCCCTCTGGTCCCTTGGTCCTCTGGTCCCTTGGTCCTCTGGTCCCTTGCTCCTCTGGTCCTTTGGTCCTTCGTCCTGGTCTTCGGGTCCTTGGGTCTGTACTTTCGAGGCAAGACGCGTTAAAGGTGATTTGGAAATCTGGTCATACATCCTGTGAAGCACCGTAGCAGACCTTTTATTGCCAGACGTAGCACACCTTTTTTTGTGAGCCACCCTGACGGTAAAATTTAGACGAAGAAAGTGCCATTCCAAGGTAGCAAACCTTTTGTGAGCCACCTGAGGGCAAAATTTTGAAGAGGAAGGAGCCATTCCAACGTTGCAGACCTTTTGTTAGCCTTGCGAGGTTAAAACTTAGAGGAAGAAGTTGATATTCCAACGTAGCAGGCCTTTGTTTTGTGAGCAACGCGAGGGTAGAACTTGCTATTCCGACGTAGCAGGCCTTTTGTGAGCCACCCGGGGATAAACTCTAGGTGCCACGCCAAGGTAGCAGACCTTTTGCGAGCAAAATTTAGAGGAGCAGTAGACCTTTTGTGAGCCACGCGAGGGCAAAATTTACAGGAGCAGACCTGTTGTCAGCATAAACTTTGGAGGGGGAAGGTGCCATTCCAACATAGCAGACCTTTTGTGAGCCATCTACAGGTCTTGTGGTTTTGTGAGCCATCGTGAAATTCAGAGAGATCACGGTTGAGATGCAGAGAGGTCTACATCTACAAAGATCCAGAGGCCTGGAGATCCAGACGGATCTGCAGGTGTAGAGGTCTAGAAAACGACAGACCTAAAGATGGAGGTTTAGAGGTTTTGAGTCTTGAGATCCAGGGAGGTGGTGAAATCTAAGTTCTAGGAGTCTATACTTGCAGAGGGTGTAGAAAGATGTTCAGATCCAGAGATATCAAGAGCTCTTTTCACAGGTCTTCAGATCCATAAAATTCTACAAACGCCACGCAAACTGCACTACAAGGTGCGCAATCGCTGCGCTTGCCACGAAGTCTGCGCTTCGAGGTTCACGAAGTGCTGCACCTGCCATGAAATCTGCAGTTCCAGCGCGCAAAATGCTGCGCCTGCCACGAGCCCTGCAACTGAAGGTGCTCAAAGTGCTGCGTACAAAGTTCCGCTCCTGCCACGAAACCTGCTGCACGGAGGTGCTCAAAGCGCTGTGCCTGCTACGAAATGTGCACTTCCAATGCACAAAGTGCCGCCCCTGCCACGAAACCTGCTACTGGAGGTGCTTAAAGTGCTGCGCCTGCCACGAGATCTGCAGTTCCAGTGCACAAAGTGCTGCGCCCGCCACGAAATCTGCAGTTCCAGTGCACAAAGTGCTGCTCCTGCCACGAAATCTGCTACTGGAGATGCTCAAAGTGCTGCCCGCGCCACGAAATCTGCACGTCCAGATTCACATCGCGCAGCGCTGCCAAGGCGGTTTGCAGTGGCAGGAGCAGCTCTTTGTGAGAGATATTTTGTTTTTGATACAAATTAATTTTCTTTTTGATAGGATATAGAAATTTTCTTTTTGATATATATTAATTTTCTTTTTGATAGCCCGGCCCCTTCCTCCTTCCTCCTTGCTTCCTTCCTCGCCAATCTTCATCGCCAATCTGCTTCGCCGATCTTGTCTGGCCAGCTCCGGATCGCAGTGTGCACCCCTGGACCTCAACCGCAAGGATCC